TTGGGTTATTTGTTATCTTATTGTCTAATTTTTTGAGTTCTTTGTATACTCTGGATATTAGGGCTCTATCTGAAGTGTGAGGAGTAAAGATTTGTTCCCAGGATGTAGACTCCCTATTTACCTCTCTTATGAAATGTGATATAATTTGGGCACTGAAAGAAGCCACAGAAAAAGAAGTGGTTGTGGAAACACCATGGATGAAGACTGAACAACAGCATACCTTTTTTTTTTTTAACAAACCATCTAAATAAATATTAAACACCTTAAAGATTCTTTAAATAAAAAATAAAATCAGTGGAATAGTTTTATTCCTTTTCTGCCTCTAATTCACACAGATTTAGTCCTGTAATTATTTCAGACCATTTTATTTTACTCACTGCTATTCCCATATTTTTTTAAGGGATGTTATTCAATTTTTCTGGTCTACTGCCCTGGATTAACTTTTCTTTTATTTCTTCTCCTTTCTTCTCTCTTATTTTCTTTCACTCTAGTCCCAGAATAAGTCTTTCCAACCATCTTSTTCAGCCAGTTCATGGTTTTGGTATCCTGAGTTCATTTTCTGTACATTTCTTAAATATCTCAATTCTGATTTCTTTTCTTTTTAAAAAAATTTTATGTGGTAATATATTAGCAGAAGTATCAATACATTTATTTGTTATAATGAACTCTTTAATTACCATCCATTTTTATGATGATGCATAATCAGAGACAGATTTCATATACAGCCTGGTGAATTGAAATGAATAAATTCTTATGAGGTTTCATATCTTGTAGCCAAAGCACTGCATTACAACAGAAGGTCAAAGTCAGAGTATGTTGCAAATCATCAGTGATATATGCAAAACTAGCTGAAGTTTCTGAGTTCACTAGAGTAAATCCAGGGTAAGGGTTATGAAAATAATAATGCATCACTGTCAGAAGGATCATGTTGGAGTTAAAAGGCCATGGTTTTCATGCCAAACACTAAGGCCAAAATATGCTTCTCACCAAAGTTTTYACCTGCTGTAAGAGCAGATGTGGTTCCAGTAGCACTCCTTAACCCCAGACCACTTTGTTTGGTAGAGTCTAAGTTGTTCTCACTGGGACTTCTTATCCTGTGTATATGCAAGAATTGTAAGGCCTTCAGGTCAAACTGTAGAAAGATGTATCAGAAGAGGCCAGAATCTTTAGAATAATAAAATTTGATGTTGAAATAGTGAATGTATCAAGATTAATAAACGTTGGCAATGCCTAAAATGTATGTAAATATGCTTTATATGTTTTTACTTTGAGATAACTTTTAGATCTTTGTTAAACTAAAATATTGTTATTAAACTATATATATGTTAATTCCTTTTATAAACAGAACAATTTTTTAAAGTCACAGTTAAAATAGTGATTCTACCACCTCAGGGTTAAATAATGATGGATTTCCCAAAGCATTATCCATGATATAAAATAATATCTACCCACACATTCATATGCACTTTAAAAATGCTTTGAAGCAGTGGATAATATTGACCAAATAAATTTGATAGAAGCAAATTTCTTTGGCCATTATGCAGAATCTGTCTAGTATGATTTTAAAGTAAATGTCTTTGCTAACTTTCCTTTTATAGGTTTTAATTTCTGAAGCTTTTCATAAAACAGACAGGGTTTTTATTTTGGATCTATGTATATTCACCAGCCCAATCCCATACAAGATTTACTACTTTCTGTTTGACAAAATTATGTTGCGAGAATTGAGCTTTCCTTACAAGTTGTTGTAGTATGCAAGTTTAGAATTTGTTTCTAATTTGTTTTTAATTTTTGTGCTTTAAGAAAAAACTACTCCATGTAGATATTTCTAACAAATAATAATATCTAATAGGAAGATGCTATGTTTTATTGCTTTTAGTAATAGCTACCTGTCATTATGCTATTAGTAACTTTCCTGCTACTCTTAATTTGGTGGCAGCTTTTAGCCTTAATAAAAAATTGTTTTCAATAGTTCTTGAGTTATGTTAGCTTACTTATTAATTTCTTCCATTTAATTTTATACAACTCATGAATGATTTGCCATGTTGTATAATGGAATGAGCCAGGCACTGTGATGCTGCCTGTAATTCCTGCAACGCAGGAAGCCGAAGCAGGAGGATCACAAAAGTTCAAGACTAGCCTCAGCAACTTAGGGAGACTCCATCCCAAAATAAAAAATAAAAAGTATTAAGGGCTGGGGATGAAGCTCAGTAGTGGAGCATCCCCATTCTGAAAAAAAAATCAAAACATGATTCTTTTGTATTATTCAATGCAAAGATATAACAAGAATCCAAAAGATAATTTTCAGTGCRCATTGAACTTTTTGCTTGTATGTGTGTTGTGAGGGAGTCTCCCTGGTTTTATAATAAAAACCTGAAAAATCTGACATTCAGTAATCAGTAAATACTATTTAGGGGCTGGGTACTGAACTATTTGAACACTTTATATGATCCTGTCACTCATTTCATGATTTCTGTGTACACCGCATAAAATCCAGACTCTAAATCCACTCTGTGTGGCCTGTACTCTTAATCTTCAGCTGTGCAACCACCTCAATTCTCTTTTTTTACTATGCTTCTTTCCACAATGGCCTCTCCTGTCCCATAAGCATACCCTGTTCTTCTATAGGCCTTTACTGTCCCTTCAACCATGGATGTTCTTCCTTAGGTCTGGTGTCCCCCCCTTCACTGACTCTACCAGATAAACAGCTGCCCAGAGTCCCATCCTATTGCATACACTGTGTAACACTTTTTTTATTTTTTTTCCTATATGTCCTGAACCATGAGAGCAGGAAACTGGATTATATTGTTTTCCTCTGTATCCAAGTGTACAGCATAGGGTTGGGATTACTCTGGCTGCTCAATAAGTTTAATTAAATAAATGGGTGATTCTTTTTTCTCAAAATAACTTTATAATGCAGGTTATTTTTTAATACACATGAAAAAAATGTTGCCTGCAATGAACTAAGCTAATTAAGTAAGCCTCTGGAGTTTGGCCTTCCTCTGGTGTGAAGGAGTGGTATATTCTCTACCATTATCTTTTGATCAGTGGAGATATTTACATGATTAACCGTAAGGTCATTAGCTAATCATTTTGAAAGCAGTACRGATGAGGCATATTTATTAAATCACAGTAGTACATATAAAAGAGCTTGTTCTAAAWAATGAAAGCTTTGTTTAAAAAATGAAGAAGCTACTCTWTTATCCTTTTTATATTTAAAATYGTGATAAATTTGATTCATTCAATGCAAAGATATAACAAGAATCCAAAAAATAATTTTCAGTGCACATTGAAATTTTTCTTGSATGTTGTTGTGAGGGAGTCTCTCTGGTTTTGTAATAAAAACAAAAATCAGACATTCAGTAATCAGTAAACAGTATTTAGGAGCTGGGTACTAAGCTCTTATTATTATTAACTTCCTCCTTCTTTAAAACTCGAAATTATGGAGAAAAAACTTCCCTGAAATAACTAGGAAGACACTGCCTCCCTGAAATGGACTCAGTGTGTTAGAGATTCCTTTGTAAAATGAAAAAGGCAAAAAAAATGATTGAATAAAAGTGCTTATCTTTTATTCACTATTTTAAGATCAAAACTAATATTATACAGAGATTTTTTATATTTTATTCTCAAATTATTATACATGATTTCATGTGTTTTTTTTCTTTAATTAGCTAAAGTAAATCAAAATACATCTTGTTAGTTACCTGTTATTATATATTTCTAGATGAAGCTACCTTAGTCTTTCTCATGGAAATGATAACCAAGTGGAAAAAAAAAGCCACTAAAACTTCATTCCACCTGCTGATATTTATTAACACACTTTATTTCTTAGTCTAGTATAACTCTATCAATCTTGCACACACCCATTGCACACAATAATTAAAAATTTGTATAAAAACTCTAAATTTTATATAAACTTTTATAACTACTGAGAGTAAAGTGTGAAGTAGAAAAAATTTAATCACTCTGCAAATACAAGAAATTAATAGTGTATTAATCATGATCTCTGTGGTGGAAGGTCAGCAAGTTCAATAGAATTTAGATGGGTATTTTTCATTCCTACTTTATTTTGCACTTGGGAAACAGAGAGAGAGGATGTGCAAGAAGTTTTTGCRGTTTTGACAAAGATAAAGAGGTACTCAGAGGCTTTTGGCTGAACTTAGGGTATAAAATGAATTAGGATCAGCTATTTATTTTAAAGGTAGGGATATGCATGGCCTAAATTACAAGACGAGGTGATTCCTATATATAATTTGAGACATTAAACTAAAAATGGCAAAACAATGCCTTCAGAACCTTAATCATGGGCTACAAAAGTTCTTGAAAAGTACAAAATGCAGTTGTTTAGTTTCCCATGGGAAAAAAATCTTTTAGTTGACCGGATTTTTTCTGGGTATTTTAGCAATATAAATAATGCAAAGAGAGTAGCAACAGCCTTCTTCTATGAGCTATTACATCTGCAGGAAAGCCCATAACCAATGAGTTGATGAGCCAAGAAATACCCAAGACTGCATGAACTGGTAGTTTTGTTGTTTCTGTGGGTGACTAAAGGAATTAAGGAATATTAAAGTATTTTGTAAAATCAGAAAGAAAATGTAACATAGTTTTTAGGTTTTATATTTAAACACTTACAATTTATTAGTTTGACATCCCCTTTTCTGATTTTTGTATTGAAGGTATGTGTTTGTGTGTTTTCAGATAACCACAAGGACTGTTCTGGCGTGTCTTTACACCTCACACGTCTGCCGTAAGTTCCTCCTGCTTTCTTTCTTTTTTTTTTCATATTTATTCTATTTTGTTGTAGTAGTTCTAATTAGTTATACATGACAGTAGAATGTTTTTGACATATCATACATAAATGGAGTATAACTTCTTCATTCTTCTGGTTATACATAATGTGGAATTGTACCGCCCTGTAATCGTATATGCACATAGGGTAATAATGTCCCATTCATTCTGCTATCCTTCCTACCTCTATGCCCCTCTCCTCCTTTTACTSTCCTCTGTCTAATTCAAAGTGCCTCTATTCTTCCCTAGCCACCTGCCCCCACTTTATTGTGAATTAACATTCATATATTAGAGAAAACACTCAGCTTCTGGTTTTTTGAGATTGGCTTATTTCATGTAGCATAACATCCTCCAGCTCCATCAATTTACCTATAAATGTCATGATTTCATTTTTCATTAATGCTGAGTCCACATTCCATTGTGAATATTTACCCCATTGTCTTTATCCATTCGTCTGTTGAAGGGCACCTAGGTTGGTTCCATAGTTTAGCTATTGTGCATTGAGCTGCTATAAAACATTGATGTGGCTGAACTATGCTGATTTTAAGTCTTTGGGGTATAAACCAAAAGCTGGATCAAATAGTGATTCCATTCCAAGTCTTCTGAGGAATCTCCATACTGCTTTCCAGATTGGCTGCACCAATTTGCAGTCCCACCAGCAATGTATGAGTGTGCCTTTTTCCCCACATCCTCACTAACACTTTTTGTTGTTTGTATTCTTGACAGCTGCCATTCTAACTGGAATGAGATGAAATCTTAGAGTAGTTTTGAATTGCATTTCTCTCATTGCTTGAGACATTGAACTTTTTTTCATATATTTGTTGATTGATCGGCTTTCTTCTGTGAAGTGTCTGTTCAATTCTTTAGCCCATTTATTGATTGGGTTTTTATTGTTGTTTGAGTTCTTTATAATATTCCATTGATTAATGCTCTATCTAAGGTGAATGTGGTAAAGATTTTCTCCCATTCTGAATGCTCTCTCTTCACATTCTTGATTGTTTCCTTTGCTGTGAAGAAGCTTTTTAGTTTGAATCCATCCCATTAATTGATTCTTGATTTTAATTCTATTGCTTTAGGAGTCTTGTTAAGGATGTCAGTTCCTAAGCAGACATGGTGAAGATTTGAGCCTACTTTTTCTTCTATTTGGTAGAGGATCTCTGTTTTAATGTCTACGTTTTTGATCCACTTTGAGTTGAGTTTTGTGCAGGATGAGAAATAGGGGTTTAATTTCATTTTGCTACATGTGAATTTCCAGTTTTCCCAGCAAGATTTGTTGAAGAGGCTATCTTTCCTCCAATGTATGTTTTTGGCGCCTTTGTCTAGTATGAGATAACTGTATTTATATTAATTTATTGCTGTGTCTCCTGTTCTGTACCATTGGTCTATGTGTCTGTGTTGGTGCCAAAACCATGCCATTTTTGTTACTATGGCTTTGTAGTATAATTTAAGGTCTGGTATTGTGATGCTTCCTACCTCACTTTTCTTGCTAAGGATTGCTTTGGTTATTCTGGGTATCTTCTTTTTTTTTTTTTAAGAGAGAGGGAGAGAGAGAAAGAGAGAGAATTTTTTTAATATTTATTTTTCAGTTCTCGGCGGACACAACATCTTTGTTGGTATGTGGTGCTGAGAATCGAACCCGGGCCGCATGCATGCCAGGCGAGCGCACTACCGCTTGAGCCACATCCCCAGCCCTGGGTATCTTCTTTTTCCAAATGAATTTCATGATTTTTTTCTATTTCTGTAAAGAATGCCATTGGGTTTTTAATGGGGCTTGCCTTAAATCTGTATAATGCTTTTGGTAGTATGGCCATTTTGACAATGTTAATTCTGCCTATCCAAGAGCATGGGAGATTTTTCCATCTTCTAAGGTCTTCTTCTATTTCTTTCTTTAGTGTTCTGTAGTTTTCATTGTAGAGGTCTTTCACCTCTCTTATTAGGTTGATTCCCACATATTTTATTTATTGATTTTTTTGAGGCTATTGTGAATCGGGTAATTTCTCTTTTGGTGGATTCATCTTTGATGTATAGGAACACATTTGATTTATGGGTGTTAATTTTATATCCTGATTCTTTGCTGCATTCGTTTATTAATTCTAGAAGTTTTCTGGTGAAATGTTTTGGATCTTGTAAGTAGAATCATGCTATCAGAAAACAGTGATAGTTTGAGTTCTTCTTTCCCTATTTGTATCCCATTGATTTCTTTCTTCTCTCTAATTGCTCTGGGTAGAGTTTCAAGGACAGTGTTGAATAAAAGTGATAAAAGAGAGCATCCTTTTCTTGTTCCATTTCTTACAGGGAATGATTTTAATTTTTCTCCATTTAGAATGATGTTGGCCTTTGGTTTATCATAGATAGCTTTTACAATGTTGAGGTATGTTCTTACTCTCTCCCTAGTATTTCTATTGTTTTGAGCAGAAAATGATTTTTCTGCATCTGTTGAGATTATCATATGATTCTTGTCTTTAAATCTTTTGATGTGATGAATTGTGTTTATTGATTTCTGTCTGTTGAGCCATCTTTGCACCCTCACTTGATCATGGTACACAATCTTTTTAATATGTTTTTCTATGCTATTTGCCAGAATTTTATTGCGAATTTTTGCATCTATGTTCATCAAGAATATTAGTCTGAAGTTTTCTTTCCTTGATGTGTCTTTGTCTGGCTTTGGTATCACAGTGATACAAGCTTCATAGAATGAAGTTGGAAGGGTTCCCTACTTTTCTATTTTATGGAATAATTAGGGGAGTATTGGTGTTAATTCTTCTTTGCAGGTCTTGGTAGGCTTTTTAAATTTTTCCTATCATTATTATTATTATTATTATTGCATTACAATTCTTAATATACCTTTATACCACAATTTATCATATCTCTGATTGTATATAAGGTATGTTGACACCAAATTCATATCTTCATACATGTATTTTGATAATGATGAGAGTCTCCTTCCACCATCCATGCTATTCCTTGGTAGGCTTTTGATGGTGTCTTCTATTTCACTGTTTGAAACTGATGGGTTTTCTTAAATGAGCAACAACATTAAGATCTTTGCAAACTATTGTGGAAGGCAAATTAACTCAGACTTACTGTTTTAAAGTCATGAATATGAATTATCTCAGCATCCTATGAGTCAGAAACATAGGCACAACGTAGAAGGCTCCTCTGGCTGGTGTTGTCCAAAGGGGCTGCAAGCAGAGTCTCTGCTGGGGATTCAGTCATTTCAAGGCTAGACCCAGGAACAGCCACTTCCAAGATAACTCACATGGTTGCTGATAGGATTTATTGCTTTGCTGGGTGTTGGCCAAAGGTCACCCTCATTTTTTTCCCCATAAGGGCTATAAACAGTGCAGCTTACAATACAACAACTGGCTTCCATCACAGAATGTAAGTAAAAAAGCAAGCAAGGGATTATGTGAAAGATGAAATCCAGAGGTTTTTTTGTAACTTAATCTTAGGAGGTGACATATTATCATTCYTGCCATATTCTATTTGTTAGAAATATGTTAGTACCCTTACTTGTGCTCACCCTCAAGGTGAGGGAGGGAATTAGACAAGGCATGCTCATCACAGCTAGGAATCATGACAGCTTGATTAGTCAGGGTTTTCCAAAGAAACCTGAATTAGTAGATGGATAGTGAGGAAGAAAAAATAATTTTAAGGGATTGGCTCATGCTTTTGTATGGACCTACAAATCCAAAATCTGTAGAGCCAACAGGAAATTTAGGGAAAGGTAGAGGTTGTTGCCTTCTTGGGTMCAAAGACAGTGCGTAGGCAGAATTTCTTACTTTTCAGGGGACCCGAGTCTTTTTTTCTTAAAGCCTTTAACTGATTGTATGAGACCTGCTCAAATTATGGAAAATAAACTGCCTTACATGAAGTCTAATTTAAATGTTAATCATATCTAAAAACACAATAATCCTTCCAAGAAATATCTAAGGTAATGTTTGACCCATCGGCCAGATACCATAATTTAACAAAGTTGACACATAAAATTAGTTATAACTGAGACTAGTTAGAATCTACCTTTTATTGTCTACCTTTTCTAATTTGTTTCATTTTKATTTTCACAAAAATAACATTCTATAAACTAATGTATTGAGATATACATATTTGTCCAATGAAATAGTTTTGGCATTATCTCATTATTGAGAAAAATATTACTTTTTTTCCTGCAGACAGCCTTTAATTGCTGGCATGTACCTTATGATGTCTGTTGACACTGTTATACCACCAGGAGAGAAAGGTGAGGAATGATCTCTTTGTATTTCTATTACCTCATTGAGTAATCTATAAGAATGGACTTACAGTTTATTTTTTATCAACTTTATAAAAAATGACCAATATTTGTATCTAAAAAATAAGCTAATTCTTTATTGTCATTATGTTTAAAGTGATTTGGTATTGTTCTAAGCCAATTATTTGTTATATTTTCAATATTTATTTATTGAAAWGCTAAGAATTGAGACTCATGGGCAGGTAGTGGTGTATAAATTAAAGAATAAATCCTGAGTATTTTATAAATCAGTCACCCGTTTTTGAGATGCAAAAGGTGAAGTGCATAATGTGCGACAATGTAAACAACTTCATGGGAAGGCTAAAAATCAACAGGCTTCAAATTCAACACCAGCTCAGTCTTTGAACTTGTATATATATTAATTTCCCTACTTGCAAAATGAGATAATAGCTGTTTCACCTAAACTGGCAAAAAGCCATGAGAATAATTGTTATTTATCAGTATATCTAAAGACCCTCTAACAAAAGTGTCATGTTAAATATTGTTTGTTATTATTGGTAATTTCAAAGTTAATATTCAGTACGGGCACTTTGTTTTGTCCACTGATCTATTAACAAAAGAAACTTATTGCATTGCTAGTATGTGTTACACTGTAAGGAGGATAAAGTATATGAAGACAGCCCCTTATCAACAGGAACTGTTCAGCCTGATGATTTTAGTATTTGCATTCAATCTTTCAAAAATCTATTATTCCAAAAATAAAAGCCATTTTTTAAGCTTTTCAACTGGATAGATTTCAAGATAAAGATAACAAATTAATTAAGCCTGTTTTGTGACAGGGTATTATAATATCTGAAGTAGGAAGGTTTTAATCTGTCTTGGTGAAATGGACGGCACAGGATGAGCACTTACTATCTGCTGGGTTTGAGTGCATGTGACTAGCTCACTTTTAGAAAAGAAGAATGTCGTTTTCCAGTTGAATAGTGACTTTTGTCTGTGTTTTTCTTTCTCACAGTGGTGAATTCTGATATTTCATGCCATTATAAAACGTACCCAATGCATGTTTTTGCCTACAGAGTTCATACTCACCATTTAGGTAAGAACCTTAAGCTACATGTTAAATTTATAAGTATTTACCATTGTGCTTACTAGTGCTGTAAATGTAAAATGTTGATTGTACTTGACCTTAAGTCTGTTTCAAAGAAATTTCAGCCAATACCTTGAATTTTTTATGCTGTTTCATCATGTTATTTTCATGAAGATACTCATTACTTAGGGTTCTGAAAAGATTCAGGTTTTATTTTAAAAAGAAAAATAAATGTGGTTTTTGCTTTTCTATGTTGTTATTTCATATGGTTACAATTTATGTTTATTTTTAAGGTAAGGTAGTAAGTGGATACAGAGTAAGAAATGGACAATGGACATTAATTGGACGCCAGAGCCCCCAGCTGCCACAGGTATGTAGGATCCAATTTAATTTGGGGAGGAAAAATAGTAACCAACAGAAAGTAATTTTTAAAAATTCTTATGTAATACCTTGTTCATTTCTTTAGCATCTAACAGTCTCCATATTTTCCTTTTCTGTAAATCTGAGCTACATAACCTCCTGTTTTACAACTTCCAATTTGATGTTTTCCTTACCAGTTCTCTCAATATGATCTGAACATGTTAGTGAAGTCCTTTCGATCCTATCATTTAGTCATAAGTGTTTCAGATAGCTCTTCTGTTATTGTACGTATTGTGTTTTATGGAATGCATTTGTAAATATGCTTTCAAAGTTGTAAAGTGGAATTGATTAATTAGAGATAAACTCTTCTATCTAGTGAGTATCTGTGTATGTGTCTATCTCTTTGTCCTCTCCATACGCAGTGCTCCAAGCCTCACATATTTTAAGCATATGGTTCTGGGTTTTATTGGTAATTTCAATGGATCACTGTGTTTGTCTTCCGGGCAGGCTTTTTACCCTGTGGAACATCCAGTGGATGTTAGTTTTGGTGACATACTAGCAGCAAGATGTGTATTCACTGGTGAGGGCAGGACAGAAGCCACACACATTGGGTAAGATTCTGTACTTTCCATTATTTCAAGAGACTTTTTTTTTTTNTTTTTTTTGTCCTGTCATGGACAATTAGAACAAACTAGTATTTTATCATTAAAATTGATCAATTTGGATAACCCCCAGAACATGCCTATTTTTATGTGCTTTTATTATTTCTGCTTCATTAAGCTCCTCAACATCATGCTCTCCATTATATAGTTAGAAAACCATATATTACTTCTTCAGACACATAAAAATGAAGAAAATATCATGATTACGAAAGGTTTTCTTTTAGGAAAATAAGTTTTCTATTTAGTCATACTCATAAAATACTCAGAAACATGTTTTCTTCTGCCTGTTAAAATTTCTGAATATTCTATAAGTTCCAGTTTTTTTAGGATAATAATATGCAGCACTTCCAAAAGGGGGAGGTCAAATAATTTTCAAAATGCAATTCTCAAATGCCAAGCTTCCTTGAAATAATTACGCTTTATAACACTAAGTAAAATTTTCAAAGCACTATGAACTCTTTCAAAAAAGATAAATAGATAAAAGATTAAAAAATGAAAGAGAAAGTTTCTTATTACGCTTTTTGTTGGAAAAGCATCAATGAATCTCCTCTCTGTGTTACACTCTGTTTTAAGGTATTTACTGAGACCACTGGGAAGTGGAGTTTTAAACCATTTATCTCTTGATCAGAGAGAAGTTACAGACAGTAGGGATCTGAAAATTTGGATTAAATGCACTGAAGATGATTCTTACAACAGCACTAACTGGTGGTTGTAAGGGAAAACGGAAAAGTTGCTGATGTAGGTTGAAAAGGGGACATTTAATGAAAGGATGAAAAGAATTTTATGTCACTACAAAAKATTTTTATTTTAATAAGCACCAATTTTAAAGCAAAATATAGAACAAAGAGAAAAACATTCTCAATTTATATTAAGCAAGATGCTTTCCAACAGCTTTGCTTTTGGATAAATTTGATAAATTTGGAAAGAGACTTGAAGAAAGCAATGTAATTATTAGGTTCCAGAAAAGGTGAGTGTAAGGAAAGAGTTGACAAAGTAGACATAATGAGATTTGAAAGGTGGAATCTGAGAGTTCACTTCTTGGCAGTGTTTAAATTCCTGAGGTAAAATGATATGGAGGCTATTGATCAGCTTTCTCTATTTTATGTTAGTGTAAATCCACAGACATCTTACCTAAATGCCATTGGTTATTTTATTCACCTTTGAAATAAGTAAGTGAAGTAGTAATGAAATCTCCTTCAAAACATTATGTGTATTAGTTTATAAGTGTGCAAAAAAGTAGWTTTTTTTGTTTGTTTGGCCAAAGGCAAAAATTACAATTTTAGGAAGCTTATCATCTTGGCCAGATTCTATTTTTTGCATTTTCTCTTCGAGGTAATATCAGCCAGAGAAATTAATGACTTGTTATAATACCAGGATGGGAGGCCAAAGTGATCTCTAGAGGGCTCTTTCATTTTGATGAGTCTAGAATAATTCTAGTCTTCTTTAAAATGTAAGTTTGTATTAGAATAATGCCCTAAAATTACTATACTACTCTAGCTTTGTATAAATCTCATGTGGACTAAAGGAAAAACACATTTTGTAATATAAATGAAATTGAAAGGAATTATAAGAAATTAAGTTATTGGGCAAGTCCATATTCTGAATATTTAATTCATACTGCAAAAGCAGTTTTTTTTCAAATATAATGATAAGCTATAAGACAAGTTTGAATGAATTTAGCCATGAATAACAACTCTTATAACAATGCAGAATAATTATAGCATTTAATCTGCTTTTTAGTTTTAGAAAAATAATAGCAGTAATACATCTCTAGTCTGCAAAATAATAGGTACAACATCCAAAGGGTACTACAGGGTCACAGTTGATAATGTAATCAACAAAAAAGAAAGAAAGGAAGAAAAAGAACAGAAATATTTTGTTTTCTATTAAATTAAATGATACTCTATAAATTTCCATATTTTCCTCTCCCACATCTCCACCTCCACTTCCATCTCCATCTCCACCTCCACCTCCACCCCACATACATCACATGCACTCCTACTAGACACAAGTTTGAGCTCAGAGCCTCAAACACTTAGTTCCAAATAGGTGAATTTAACATAAGATATATTAGTAACTATACTTAGTGGTAAAATGTGTTGTCCAAATATATTTCTTTTAAAATAGTAAATATGAATAGCATATCTTAAACAAATACATTGCACAAAGTATATAGTGATTACAGTACTAATTAATCTGTGAAGGAGCAATATTTTGTGCCTGACWGCACTACATATTTTATATTCAATATGATGCTTCTCTAAATTCATTTCGAATGTTTAGTCAAGTTTAAACAAAAAGAAAGAATTTAATTAAGTCAACCAATTAAGCTAATTAAGTCAGCTAGTCAGCCTAAAAGTTTATAGACTGAAATTTCAAATTAATTCTTGGAATAAATAGATAGTATTTACCTATTTAGTCAATTATTTKGGTCATACTTTTCATTTAAAATGGATCATTTCATGAGAATATGAACTTGAAAGAATATGACAATGTCTAAAATATATTTATGTATACCAAATAGTATGTTAATCAACATTTTGATGTACATTATATGCAAAGATAAAATTATATGATAAATAATAACTCCTTAATGTATAAGTTTAAAGGTACCATATTTATAAAATATTTTTCTTTAAATTTTTCAGGTAATAAAATTAATATTACCTGTTTTGGTTATATTGAAGCCTGGCTCTGTTGATTAAGGAGCTTGGCTAGGGGCAAGGGACTCATTAAATTAATAAAGTGCTACAGCCTACATCCCAAGCCTGATACACAKCCATTTGGAGACTTCAAAGTGATACATTTCAGACTACTTGGTACTCTCCTAAATAACTATTAAGTATCTTTCTAATAGAAAATAATTATTTTTATAAAACCTCCTATAGAACCCTGATAGATATCAGTAAATTGATTTATATGCAGATATAAATATTTTTCAGAAATACTATAGAAAGTACATAAATTGACCTAACTCATTATTCATCAGTGTAATATTTTAGAGATAATATATTATGTCATAATAAGTTGCAGACATTTATTAAGCAAAGTCATTCATCCTTCTATCATTTAACATGTATTTTTAAAATTTTATTATTTTGGGGGCTCATCACACTGTGTTGGACTTGAAGCTTTATATTAAGCCAGTATAAAAGAGGAGGTTATCACATAAGCACTTTGTTGTGAAGAGCATGAAAGAATTCCATACTGCAATATTAGGATACAGATGATGTCTGCAGTCATTATTTCAAAGAATCACATTGACATTGAGGGATGTTAAAAGGACCAGGCGGTGGAGCCAAGACAGACCTGGGAACATGCCTGCCTCCCTGCTTCTGTAGATCATTCAGATTGGCAGACTTGAATTGCATATGTTGAGCTCTGTGAAAAATAAGGATGTGTGTGTCAAAAATCCCCCTAATAAATACAGAAAGTGATAGGCTGAAAGTGCAAGTCTTTTTTGTTTTTGTTTTTTGGTAAAAGAAAGATGAATGTGGAATAAAATTGGCAAACTATGATGCTGATACTCAGGATGATTTGAATCTTCACAGTTTTAACATATAATAGTTTCTCTGTCAGATAGGAGCTCAGAGTTACCTTGACTACAAGTCCAATCACAGATAGGAAGGAATAAAGCAAGACTCCTTTCTTTATGGTCAGCTCATTCTGTGAAATTTTTCTTTGAAATCAAAGATTCCTAGATTATTTGAGTAACTCAATTTTGTATCAATGTATCAGTATCTCAAATGAACTATATTGATGAACTGATTAGGATGTCTCACCAAATCAAAAATATTTAGCAATGAACATATTTATGTCTGTATAGTTAACACATAATATGTAATTGAATTAGTGTATTGTCTGTATCTATATGTGTGGATGCAGCATTTACATATCTGTATACTTTCACATATATATGTATAATTTTTTCTCAAAAAATGATTTAATAAGTGGCAAGATAATTCACTTTGCAGGAAGTAACTTGGAGCATTAGCTTATATTTTTATTTTTTGTTTTCTCAAATTCACTAATTAAAATAATAAAGTTTGATGATCAGTCATAGAGGACAAATTGTTATGTTATTTAAAAAGTTACAGCTTTCTTTTTGGTGTAGTTAACTGCATTTTTCAAACATGTAATCTTATGTCTTGATATTCATTATTTCTAAAATAGTAATTACTGTCTTTGTCTCCAATATTACTTTTAAAATTATTCCAAATTTATGCCACTTTTTATGTCATATTCTACCTTATTATCACTCTCTATAATTTTCTTTAAAAAAAACTGGTGTTCACTGATTTGATAATGATAGCAGTGAATAAGTGACTTAGTAAATTATTTCCCTGATCATTACTTTGGTTGATAATTTCACTTAGCACACATTTCACAGTTTAGTTCTTTGTTCTCTAATTGATTACCTTTTACTTATTTGAAATGAACTCTTTCAGTACAATTTCTTTTAAGATGCATATAAAAACAAGTCCTCCAAATAGACATGTAACAAGTTTAGAAACACCAAAATTATATGTTGGGAATATATATTAAGATAGTCTATTTAGTTATTTTGAAATCTATGATATTAGTTGCTTTGAAAATTTCTAACAGATTTTTTCTGAAAATTTAAATGTATATTTGGATGGATGAATTAAAAATAATATAAGTAGATTTAATATATGTTTTTCTATATATAAAGCATGTTAAATTCCTACATATACATCTGTATGCATATCTATGGCATTTGGATAGTTCTATGTAACTAGACTACATGCACACACCTAGGTCTATTGTGTGATGGTTGTTATCCAAAAGTAACAGTAGATGTTTTACATGCATCTACAAAGTACTAAAGAACGACTTTTGGTTGGTAATTTCTAACCAGTGCTAGGATTATACATACTCCTACATAGTTAAGAGTTAAATCATAAGTAACATAGTGCAATTTTTTGTATTTTATGAAAACATAATAGTTCACAGAATAAATTTATAAAACAGAAGACACTCTGGTCCAGTTGGCCAACAACATTTAGACCAGCAATTAAATTCTTTAATTTTCTTTTGTTCTGTTGTTTTAACAATAAGGAAAGAGCTCTGAATACTGGTTGTATTACCTGTGCTGCTGTGGGTGTGTGTACCACCCCTGTGATAGCATGAGCACTGCTGTTTCTAAACAGAGAAGCTATATGAGGATTTGTCCATGGATTAGTTGCAAGTTTCATGTATTCACATATGAATTTACTAAAATTTTTCCTGTCATTAATTTGTTTTTAAATGATTGTTTTTTGCTTTTCCTCTGTGCAAGAGGATGCCATTTCTAAGCAAGAGCCACATTTTGAATTCCTTTTCCTCCTTGGTCTCCTGTATACTTCCTCCTTTTGAACAGGGAGGGGAAGGATAGTATAGGGGGAGCCTCCGGGTTATTATTTTGGCACCAGACATTCCTTTTATAGCACATAATTTTCTGACCCACTCTAAAACTGTTAAAATGTGATTCTTAGGAATGGTGTTTTGACACCAGGAAGATATGTGTAATGAACATGTGTTTGTTTGGGGTTGCACTTCATTATTTGCTTATATTTCATGGGAGAGGCAATTACAGTGACAGGTATCAGATTCAGAGAGTGAGAAGCCAAATGATTTCTAAAGCATAAACAGAGCTTCTCATGACAGGGGCTCTTTCCTGAGGTCTCTTGGGGGCTCTACATTTTCGAAGCTTAGAGAAATCAAATCCTTGCTTGGAAAAGACTTTTTTTTTTCTTTCCCTTGCTGATGTCATTACTGTTGCTATGGAGAAGTGAGTGCTGCATGACATTGTTGGAAAAGTCAACACTGATGTATTTCTGTAGAGCAAATAATCCACCTCATAGCTTGTTTTTTATTTGTATAAGCTTGCTAAAAGCTGTCAGAACTAATAGCAAACAGGAAATATTCCTTTGCTCTRTAAAAGTGTTCTAAAGGTATACTGAGCCATTTCTTCTTAATAACAGTACAGAGACTAAAATACGAAGTAGCCCATGTGAACTGAAGAAGAGAACATGCTTTGTAAGCTGTGAGATATTATTTGTACCACTTGGAACTTTTTTCTTGGAAACATCCACACCATTTTGAAATCTATTTTTAACACTGAATCATTCCACTCTGTAGCATTACCCCAGTCAGGTCTGAGAGAAAAGATTAGTGTTGCTTTCATTCTGAATCATTTTTGAGGTGTTCTCTTCTTCCCTGTGGTAGCAGTCTAGTTGTGACATCATATAACATGACATCTTAGTGTGGTACATGATTCTCAGTTCATCTCACCATTAAAAAGGAGGCACTTAACCAAAAATATGGTTCAAAACTCTAGGTCTTAAGTAGAAAAGCCATTTTTAAAAGACTTATAAGTAATATATTTCTGTTGACATATTTTAAATGTTACCATTAAGTAAATATGTGATTGTTTAAGAGAAAAGGAACTGCCCAGTCTAAGCCTTATATCAAACAGAAAAGAACTGAAAAATAAAAGGATTTAGAAGAGAAAAGAAAATATATCTCAACTACTGAAAAATCATTTCCATCTGTGTTGTTGGCTAATATCCCTTTTTATGTACAGACTGATTCTACATTGTTAGGTGAAAATATGCTTTTGACACTGTGCTTCTGATGTTGCAAACTAATGGGTTAGGCTGGGGATGTGGCTCAAGCGGTTGTGCGCTTGCCTAGCATACATGCGGCCCAGGTTCGATCCTCAGCACCACATACAAACAAAGATGTTGTGTCCTCTGAAAAATAAAAAATAAATTTTAAAATTCTTTCTCTCTCTCTCCTTTCCCTCTCTCTCCTCTCTCTCTTTAAAAAAAAAAAGAAAGAAAGAAAGAAAAAAGAAAACTAATGGGTTTTAATGAAAACTACAAAACAAACTCACAGTATCCCCACCATTAATCCATTGTTGGCAGGTTTACCGGTTGCACTTTTCTTGCATTAAGAATGCATTTTATGTAAATGGCTGATTTGTTGTATCTACTTTTTTTTTTTTGCCTACAGTGGCACATCTAGTGATGAAATGTGTAACTTATACATTATGTATTACATGGAAGCCAAGCATGCAGTTTCTTTCATGACTTGTACACAGAATGTAGCTCAAGATATATTCAGAACTATACCACCAGAGGCCAATATTCCAATTCCTGTGAAGTCCGACATGGTGATGATGCATGGGCATCACAAAGGTGAGATTGGTGCTTAACATAAAGAAGCATATGCTTTTGTATATTATATTCTCATATGTGTCTTACTTGACTGTATGATTAGTATTTAAAATCATCTTTATTCCCTTCTTCAATCAACTTGTATATATGTATTCTTATTTCCTCTTTCATATGCCTCCCCTTTCTGGCATGTCCCCATCAAAACAGTTAAAAAGACAAATCTCAGCCGGTAATGAAACAAATTAGTTTTGGTGRCTAATCCCATAAATGTAGACCCTTCTTCATTTTAATTCATGTTTTCTAGTTTCTTCATCCCATTCCTCCAATAGTCAGTAATGTCATAGACAATTTATGAATTTATAAATTGCAACAAAAAGTGCTACAGTTGGCCAGTGAAAATGGTTATCATGTCCAGTAATAACTTAAATTATCTATTTAATTGGCCTCCTCAAGCAAAGATCCCATCTTGATATTAATAATCTTAGCTCTTTTGGTCTCATTCTTAGAATTGTTCAGAACTTACTGTTTGTCTGCAAAATGTCATATTGACTGTCATCCCTTTAGTTTAAAGTTGCAAAACCCACACTTTCTTTTATTACATGAAATATGCTGATGTTATTGAGTTTTGAAGATTCAGTCTTAAAATGCCAGAGCAGCTCCTTATTTCTTTCTAGTGGATATTTTATGAATGAAAATGGCATAGCAATGAGTATTAAGATGCTAATATATTTATAGAAAATACCTTAAAATCTCTTAACATATTCTTAGAATGTTACTAGAGTCGATTTAAAAAAAAAAACAAACATGAGTAGTTTTGTTAAAACATTTTAAAAATTTAGTATCATTTATATATCACTGAAAAAATAGTTGACCTAGTTATTATGTCAGAAGTCTGGTAATTGGTAGTTATGCTGGGGTGGAGAAGATTGTGAATTAGAGCATTTCTTCTATATAAATTCTTAATAATATAATAAACACAAGATCTTGAATGACATTTTTATGTTAATGGCATAATTCCAATGAACTATTTAAAGTGTATAATAAATGCTGCCAATTTATGCTCAACTTCTTTGATCCTTTATAGAAACAGAGAATAAAGATAAGACTGCTTTACTACCACAGCCAAAACGGGAAGAAGAAGAAGTGTTAGACCAGGGTATGTATGCTTATTTCTGTAACCAGACCTATAGAAGTATTCCTTATTCAAATAGTCAACCAAATTGTAAAATCATGAGATATTTAGGTCGATTTGTATCRGCCTCAAATGCTATTATTGCTGTTCTTATATAATGCATAATTCATAAGGAAATGGTCAATTTTTGCACTTGGCCTTGGAAGTAAAATTCATTAGTGTAATTTAGTTCCTTTAGGTTTACTATTGCAACTTTTATGAATAGTACAAATAAGTGCAAATATAATCATGAAAAACAATGATTGCACTGCTTTTGAAATTTAATGACCTCTACCAATTAAGTTCTTGCATATCTTGTATAGTATGTTTGCTAACTATATTTGAGTTTCAAGAAAAAGAAATTAAGAACTAAACCTGCATCTTGTCTCTATAAGGCACTCTTCTTTGCCTTCAGCAAGGTAGGAGGGATCATTGTCTTCTGCATTTATAGTTCTGTATTAAGGTGTCATTTAATGAGTCAGGAAAGCCCCCATTCAGCCTCTCTTCTGTTTAGTTAAAGGGGGAATGTTTGATGCCCATATGTCAGATACTGCATGTGCTAATAATGAACAATTACTCTCATGATCTTAGTTTCTTGCCAGTTGTTTGGAAGATAGTGCTTTATATTAGGATGTTGGAGTACATTATCCTATCAAGTGATTTTTGGCCTAAATGTTAGTTTGATGTTAGTACAAATACACGTCTACTGACAACATAAAGCATACAAGAGAGAATTTTTTATTAGCAACATATAGTACTTTCCTATTTCTTAGACATTGTCAACTGCTATTGGAATTCTTCCAAATGTATTATATTAGGTCAAAGATAACACCTGTGCTCTAATTATTTTTGTAAAATGAAGAATCTGTTTTTGAAAGGGGGAAATGCACTCTTCAGGACCATAAGTAAACTCCAGTCTAAAGGCTTTTAAATTGTGTAGAATATGTTCTATCTTATTCTAACAAAGTAACCTTTTAAAAAACTACAGATTAGTTTAAAGTCATTTCTGTTTGTGTGTTAGGTCAAAACTTGGGAGATGATTTTATACTACTGGGCTGTTAAGTACAATTTAAAATAGCTAATTGTATTCAACTGTTTAGATATCTGTAAGGATGTCAGTAATAGCAACCTAAGTATACTAGTATTAACAGTGTTTACTGCAATTGCACTGAAGCTTATTCAGAACTAGAATGAATTATTTTAACCTTGCACAAATTGTTTGAAATCTGTCTTTAAAATAATTTGAATGATCTTAAAATTCATTTGCAAATACCAACATATATGACATAATATGGAAGGAGATCACCATTTAATTGATGCACCTTGTAAAATGGTGCATTTCTATGGAAACTGAGGTTGGACTATGGTGTAATTTTAAAGTTAGCTGAGTTGATCAAGGGAGACATTGATACCTCTGGAAGGTTAGAAAMCCAGAGGATTGTGAGCAAAGCAATCTTAAATGTTAGATTCAATCTTTTCTTTTCCAACAGTAGGATTTAGGAAATGTCATATATGCCTACAAATCAAATCCTTTAAAATGCTTTCTTTCATATTTTGCCATACATTTACCCTTTTATGTTTTATAGTGCAGGGAGAGGTTTAAATGTACCCAAACTCTTATTTGTTCCTGAGAAGATTTATATAGTCATATATTAAATATTGGCCTATAGTTTCTGTTTTCTTCTACTTATGAATAAAAATTCTGTAAATAAATCGATATGACTTAAAAAGGAAAAAAGTATTATTCTGACTCGAATTTTCATACTGTAGAAAATAAGCTATTGAAATTAGCAGGTCCATTGAACAGTCACCTCCTGAGTTATGTGAAGACAATATCTCACTAAAGCCATTTTGGTGGCCAGTGTGGTCTGTGTATTAACCTGCTGGTCCCTAGGAACCAACAGCTGAGAATTTAAAGAGAAGTAGTGAAATRTAGCCAATGCACATTTGGATAGCTAGTTCATTTGACGTGCTAATGAAATCAATCTATCTCCTTAAAACACACAGGACAAATCTACTTATTTGTACTAAAAGCCCATTCAGAGTATTTATTTGCATGAGCATCTATTTAAATTAATTCCTRTGGATGTCAAATTGACCAAATAGCTGATAAGAGGACTCTAATTATTCAAATAAATTATTCGATGTGTGTTAATTTTTAAAGTAAACCCTCAGTGTTAATCCACTGCCTTATTTTGATGCTCAGCTCAAACAATTTGTGTTCAAGCATTCCTCCAGATTGTATTCATTCTTTTAATATATTTTAACCTTGATACATCAAAGTTCTGAATACTTCAGTTGTATTTCTATTTACAAACAAACAGACATCATCTATGTTGGTCCCACAAAACATGTGAGACTCTGATAGGAAACAGAACAGTTCTGAAGCAGGGAGAAAAAGACTTAAAACATAAGAGGACATGAACTCAAAACCAAGCTCTGTACCCAGGATGCAGTTTGCTTGCAAATGATATAAATAGCTCTACCTAGATAATATAAACTATATATGTGGATTTTATGTATATATAAGCCTTCTATATCAATACATAAGAAAGTCTGYAAGAAGATAAAGGTCAAGATGATGTGATAAATACTATGTAAGAAAGAAGAGATGACCTTTACTAAGATTGTGAAAAATGGGTTGGGGGGAAGATCTTATTTTATAAACTGAAATAAAGAAATGTAGCTGTGCACAATATGTGCATGTATAGAAATGTCACAGTAAAACCCATTAATTTACAATTAATATGATTGAATAATTTTAATAAAAAAGAATGTAGTTGTGCACAGGAAGTTGTGGGTATGTCCAACATACAGAAAAAAAAAATCCAAAGAAACCAAATAATCTTTTTAACATAGGTTTATCTTATTATCCTTGTTTATCWTATTTCTCTAGGAAAAAAACCTAAATGTTTTATTTTCTTTGAAATTCTTATCACTAAAATCCTAGCTATAAAAGTTTTGCCAGAGTCTTCATCTTGATTGGAAATTAACTAGCATTTGAAAGAGTCATCTGAGTTGTATGAATTTATGTTGTATTCCCCCCAGCCTCTGCTTATTCACAAACATATCAACTTTCAACAATATATTTGTCTACATCTGTTCTCCATAGAAGAAGTTTTGACATAAGGCAAGTGTATCTTAGATTCTCTATCTCAAGAGATGTAATTACTAAGACACCAAAGAAGCATCATTATAGGAGAGTTTTACCATTCAGGTTGTCTTGGACCATGAAACAATTGGAAGAATTTTAATGAGGCTTTAAGTGAGTCTACAGAGATTTTTTTTAAAAAATAATGTTTATTTTGACCAATTAAAAAATTAATATTCATCATAGAAGATAATTATATATAAAGTATGAATAAACAAGTAAAATTGATAGTACCCAGATATGTAAGTGAAAATGTATACCTGTATTTGAAATACATGTTAAACACATATACACATAATTTTAACAGTATTTTAGATTATAATATATATACAATTTTTTTCCTTCTAAAAAAAATAATATCTTAGCCAGGGGCAATGGCTCACACCTATATTTCCATCAACTCAGAAGGCTGAGGCAGAAGGATCACAAGTTAGARGCCAGCCTCAGCCACTTGGTAAGAACATCAGCAAGTTAATGTGACCCTGTCTCACAATTTAAAAAACAAACTGAAAAGGACTGAGGATGTAACTTAGAGGTAAAGCACCCGTAGGTTCAAACCCCAGTACCAAAAAAAAAAAAAAACTTAAAAAAAATATATATCTTAAATATTTTCTCCAGTGGTAAAAATTATTGACAGAGATGATTTTTAGTTGCTGCATAATTTGTGAATATTTCTACCAGTGTTAAAACTGCAATTTATATAAACTGAGTTTCTCTGTGAACAAATAGATTATGTCTACTTTCATGCAGAAAAGCATGAATGGACATTCAAAACAAATGTCATATCTTTTAMGAACATTATAAGTGGAGAATTACCTGTGTAAGTAATAAGTGCAATAAATTAAACAGTAAACCCAATTGGACAGTGATTCTGGGTGGAGGAAATCCTAGGTAGGTGAATCCCAGGAAGTCATGTGGAAAGCAGAGGTAGTGCAGGTCTCTAGAGCAGACAAGACACACACAATGATATCACTCACTTATGTCTTACAGTTGGCACTTTTAGGTAACAAATGCACGCTTTGTAAATTATCTTTATTTTGTATGCTTTATGATTTCTTATATATGTTTACTGTAACCATAGGTTCATCCAGAGCTTGCTACCAACGTTGTTTAGGCAAAGAATAGTGAAACTAAGAAGGTTGGCAGCTGCAAGCAAGAATCTATATAAACTACATCTAGAAGTTTTGAATCTTAGTATTTTGCTTCTTTAAAGTTCAGAATATAAATGTAGTGGTGCAAATTTGTGTCAGTTGTATTGGGGATATTCCATATTTTTAAGAACTCAAAACAGAACTGAAAGGCAATGTCTATAATACCAGTGTGTCCTTGTTATTGTGCATTATGCTCTGTACAACATTTTTTTTTTCTGCAGAAAGGGCCTTTAGCATGTTTTATTCAGTTTGCTCCAAACTCTTCTCATTGTAGTCTTTGTGCCCTCACATAATCAATCTTTCCACTCAAAGGTCAGCATGAGCTACTATATTCCCAAGGCAGGGAGAATATGACAAAAATACAATTTGTAGAGGGAAAACACTCCATGACCCCAGATAGTTAAAGGTCTTCAGACACCTTCTGTGAAACAGAATAATTTCACAGTGGTTTTATGCTAACAAAAATGAATTACCATTGGCATGTTTTATCAAATAAGCAGAATCAAGGGAACAGGGTTGCAAGTTAAAAACACAACAGCATACTGTAAAGGCTTTCTGAAGTAACTATTGGTAAACATTTTCTGGATGAGTAAAACAAAGGTGAGTCTTGGTAGATAATATTATATTTCTTTGCCTTGTTCAGAGTGGGACATTCCTTCTGACCCCCTAAAAGAGTCCAAGTG